CAGGAAGTCAGCTGACCTCATTCTTTGAGCACATGTTGCTGAACCTGAACCTGACCAACTGTATCAACCCCAGATCATAGCACTGCCCCCACAGGCTTGTACAGTAGGCACTGGACATGATGGGTGCATCACTTCACCTGCCTCTCTTCTTACCCTGATGTGTCCATCACTCTGGAACAGGGTCAATCTGGACTCATCAGATCACATGACCTTCTTCCATTGCTCCAGAGTCCAATCTTTATGCTCCCTAGCAAACTGAAGCCTTTTTTCCAGTTAGCCTCACTGGTTAGTGGTTTTCTTAAGGCTCCACAGATGTTCAGTCCCAATCCCTTGAGTTCCTTCACATTGTTCATGTGGAAATGTTCTTACTTTCACTATTAAACACAGCTCTGAGTGCTACTGTTGTTTTTATTCGATTTTATTTCACCAAATGTTTAAGTGATCACGATCATTCAGGATTGTTTTCCAGCCACATTTCTTCCTGGAAGACGATGGGTCCCCACTATCCTTCCAGTTTTAATGATGTGTTGGACAGTTCTTAACCCAGTTTTAGTGGTTTCTACAATCTCCTTAGATGTTTTCTCTGCTTGATGCCAATGATTTGACCCTTCTCAAACAGACTGACATCTTTTCCACGACCACATGATGTGTCTTTCAACATGGTTGTTTAAGAAATGAGAAGCAACTCATTGCACCAGTTGGGGCTAAATAACTGGTTGCAGCTGAAAGTTAATCATCTATGCAGTAATTATGCAACAGGAGGCTTGTACCTGTTTGCTTAGTTAAATCCAGGTGGCAACTTTTTTTTTTGGACAGACAGCTTGTACCTTGCAGATGTTGGATGCTGTCTATCACGGTGCACTAAGCTTCACAACTGGCTGTAACTATCGTACCCACCATTGCACCCTGTATTCACTGGTTAACTGGTCATCATTAACAACAAAGTCCATGCTCAATAATCCAGGTATACAATCCAACATTTTTCAGTCAGGCCATCTGGACAGTTTTTTTTTTTGTGCTGAAACGTTTCACCTTCGATCCAGAAGGCTTCATCAGTCAAGGAAACACACAACAAAACTGATTCTTCCTCCAACAACTTACTCCAAAGTGGAACAAACCAGTTATGTTGCCTTCCGGATCGAAGGTGAAACGTTTCAGCACCAAAAAATAAAAAATAAACTGTCCAGATGACCTGACTGAAAAATGCTGGACATCATTAACTTCACGCAGACTCTCCCACTGGTACATTTTCATCTTTAAATCACTTCTTGGTCTGCTGCCTTCATACATCTCCTCCTACATGTCTCTGTGTGAGTGCAGCTACAGCGTGCGCTCTCAGAACATTATTACCTGCAGTGTTCCCTCAGTTCGAATGGAACTAGGCAAAAGGGTCTTCTCCTATTCCACTCCTGTTTCCTGGAATATCTTACAAAAAGATCTGAAGCTCTCGACCTTGACCTCTTTAAGTCTTTGGCTTCAAACATCTGTTAAGTTCATGGCAAAAACAAATAGACATGTTCTTGTTTTTAGTTTTCTACATTACCCTACAACCTAGCTGTTCTT